CTAGATTACCCTCTTAGAGAAAAAGAATTTTCTTGGGTCAAGTCTTGCCCCACATCTGTTCTACCAAGGGGATAGGGAGTGCGTATTTCTAAAGTTCGACTACAAGCCAGTTGAGACTTGGTGTTTCTTCGATAGATAGCTGCTGTATGCCTTTAATCTTTTCTTGCATCGTTTAAGTATCATAACTTATGATTAAGGTGCCTCGCCTGTTAGAACAGGTAGATTGGCTTGTGCGTATTTCTGAAGTTCGACTGTAAGTAAGTTAAGAACTAGAGCTTATTCCATAGGCAACTGCTATGCTGTGTTTATTGTCTCCTTGGAGAAGACGACCGTTGAAGTTTGTCCTTAGTGCCAACTCGAAGTAATCCTTTGCTGACTTCTTTGCAGATTGTGGGCGTTAATACGAAGACCCGGGCAGTTGCAGAAATATCGTACCAGGATTTTTTCATCGATGTGATTCGATTTTCGGGAAAGACCATAATTTGGGCATTTCTAGGCTCCTGTATTGGCACAAATTAAAATCCCATTCAACTTGATCACTCGGAAATCTCAGAACAGGCTTCAATAATTTCAGTTAGAGCGCAAACGCCGTTCATGCCAGTATATCTTATTTCGAACGCCGAAGCTGTGGAGGACGTAAAATCGATTGATACGGTCGTCAAGCAGGCACATAGCCGAGAGCGTCAAAATACCTTCCCCGCACCCACCCAAACCGTCTACAGTGCCTACACACTCTCACTCACTTACTTTATGGATCTATCAGGTCGCGTGTGCCTCAATGAGCTGCGGTAGAACACCACCGGCCATACCACATCTCTAAACCTCTCCTTATTAGCATTCACGTAAAAAATTACCACACTCAAAATCACAGCACTCGAGTACCTCTAGCGTAAGTGGAAAGTCTGTTTCTGGGCCCCTTCTCCAGGTGGTTCGAGCCTGAGACCATCATATTGCGCCATACGTCATGTCCTAGAAGTTAGCCAGAAGGTGATTGAACCCAAACCTCGCAATCAACCCAGGGCGTGTTTTGTGTAGTGACCGACTCGTGCGCTGAGAGTCAGACCACAATGACTCCTTACCGTGATCTCTCGCACTGTGGTGCGCGTGAAGTCCATACCGACTACCAGCTTTAGTGTGAAGTCTCGGCGTTTAGGTTATGTCGTTGGTTGGTTGGTAGCCCTTGTTGGTTCAGGGGTCCCCGCCGGAGTTCAAACTGGGTGCAGTTGGGAGACGGAGACAAACCGCGACCTCAGCCGGTTTGAGCCAAAGGTCCACGGGGGTGAGTTGGGTGCCTGGCCGGGAACTGTAGGCGAAGAGATGACGGCAGTCATGCGGCGAGACGCCGCAGTCGGCCAGATATGGAAATAGTGTAGACTTTCACAAAACGAAACATCGTCACCATAACCTATCGTGCGCCTACAAAACCGGTTGAGTAGCATAAGGAAGTCAGCCCCATGGATAACACGGAACACTAATGGCATTTTATCAAAATATACAAGCTTTAGCATTCCTATGGAAGGCCGATTTATTATGGAAACTTATGAGTTTTCCCACTTTCTGTAAATCGATCATCCTGGCCACATCGTCAGGTTTATCATTTACTTGTGAATAACCGAGCAGTACGATCGGTAGGTTAGAATCAGAAATCCTATCCCCAGACAAACAACTATCTTGGTTTGTGTAGGGCTTTACCAGTCGCACTTGCGTTGGCCCTTACCTGTTGCCACTGTCCTTCAAAGGCGGTCTATGAGATTTTCCATCAGAATGCGAGAATTTTCTAATAAGCATCGTCTGCCATGATTGGTACAAAATCGATAGGCTTGGTCAGTCATTGTTAACCGCAGGAGGATTTCAAGTACTTCCATTAATTCGACCAGTTCCTTTCGTAATACACATAAACAAACCTGTATAATCTCCTTCTCGATCGTCTTGCGCTGTCCTTCGGGTTTGCAATGGTATCATATCAATTATAACTGCTTCAGATGCTTTAAGCGCATTTGTGTCTGCTTTCGATTTGACGACTTTCGATTGCTTGGCCGTCTGTCGGTTGCCATTTTACAGGCAATAGCTGCAGGCCCTCTGGCTTCTCGTCTAATTTAGTTTCTGATGGTATGATACATCCTTTCATTCATTCTTCTTACCCCCCTCAACTGTCTGTGTTAACTTACAGTTTCTTTTCTGCCTCTTCCTGTTTTGATCACGACTTCGGGACTCCGGACTCATTTGATTTAAGACTATACTATTTTTAAAGGATGAAATTAAATCGTGAATTATTTTTACAGAAACGACTATCGATGACCAATCCCGAGGCGCAACTGTTTGAAGATGAATTTCCGCTTGCCCGAAGTTGTCCTGAATTGTATGAACTTCGTACTGCATGC